TTACAAAACTGGGTTCACTGATATCTTGATCACCAAAATGACATTTATTTTTATCCCAGCGCAACTGAGCGGCTGAGCCTGAAACGATTCCCTTCCCGCCAGGCTCAGCCTAAGCGCAGATGATCTCAGTGCCCTGCATTAGCGCCGATTCCAAGAATATTGGAACATTCATGATCAGGATGTCAAATGATCCCCGCAAACAAGTTCCAGAAAATGAACATCATATTCGTAATCATGGCACTGAATAACATTGTGGGCAAAGTTTCACCGAAAAAATGCTTCGAGTTCTTGTAGTCGTAATTAATAATGGGATTGTGCATTGTGTTCTGCGAGTACTTTGTCTCTATGAATCGGTGTAACTGGGGGCACCACTCCAACAAACTCATCCGACTTCACACTGTTGAAGTAATCTGCCTTCCGGTTGCTTGCTAAGACGTAAATTCCTGAAGCAACAAATTTAAGACATACTCCGGATGAAAATGAATCGACGAGCATTTTGTTCAGGGTAAAAGAACTGACCTTTTTTAGTAAATAACATCAGTGTATCTAACAGCTCCGTATTCAGCATCCATATCTAAAGAGGAAACCCTATAACCACTCTCCAACTAAATTACTTTGGGAACTTCGGCTGAGATCACCAACACACTCACCTGGAACGCTTTCGATTTCGAGTACTGTACCGCTCCTTCATCTTGACCAACTAAAACCACCAATGCATCTACTTCACCAAGTCCATCTTCACCTTTATTCTAAAATTTATTCCTCGTAGAAAGATAGTCGACGTCAGGTTGGCAGCTTTCCACTGAGAAGCCGGAAGAATTCGCAAAGAACTTCGTTATACTAACCCATGTCTCATAAAGAACTGTCGCATGCCGGAGAAACAGCTCCTTGTCAGCGGTGAGCACCTTCTTCTCCGACATTACCTACTGAAGCACTGCAGTTCAACTCGCATCTCTCGTGCGCAATTTTCGTCAAAATTTGACCGTTCACGATAAAGCTGGGGAAAACCCAAAACAAAACAAACTGAGTAACCACATATATTTTGAGAACACTATTCAATGTTTCTGCGTTCAGAACACACGAGCCTGCTGAGAGGAATACACATATAATCGCGAGGTCATGAATGTCTATACAACGAATCGAATAACAGACTAGACAGAACAAGGTTACTCACTTAACAACCTCCTAAGCTAGCGACTGTAAAGGTTCTGACGCTATTCGACTTGGGAGGGGCATTTTGCACATTCGCTATTTCCTCCTGCTACTACCTGGTAAACTACACGCCACATCTTGGTGGGACCTGTATACTATGCCAAGTGTAAACGATGCTCCTGCTACTGCACACCTTTACAGGGATTTACAGGTCTCCACAGGAAGCTCGACAGTGACCGATGAGAACCAGCAAAGCCGCCCAACCAAGCCGAACCACGCCTAAGTCCTTATTAATGATAATATATACATGGGTAATCAATGCGAAAATAATTGTATGAGAACGAACTGGTCATGGTAAAACGTACAATTGAGGCACAATGTTCTACATTACAAATTATTAAGGTTTCCTCTTCGATTTGCTTTTCAGAAGGGGGTTTTCAGTTCAGCGCTCCGATAGGTTTCTCGCCTAAGTATTAACGGACCACTTCATTTGAAAGCGTCTTCGCGTTGCGGCTGCATATACATGATGTCCAAGTCGCCTTTCGAATAATCTGGAAGTTGCGAAAAATAACCAAAAAAATTCACTTTGCACCTGCACATCAACGTATCCATTTCTCTGCGCTTGAATGTCAAACGCTGGTCCAGGATCTATCCAACTCTTACTGCCGTAAATAAATGTCACAGGAACGCTATCGTCAATACCATTGAATCTGGAAGACCCCGCACCGTTAGGAGAAAATCGGAGAACAACTGTGCTCGATATCTCGTCACACAAAGGCAACTATTGGAATGATGGGGCGTGTCCACGCGACCGCGTTTGGCGCGACGCCAACCAGTTTTTTTCGTTCCTTCCTCTCGGCAAGCGCAGGACTGTATCACACGGATCAGTCGTTTTTCACCAGTTACTTTCACTGATCCGCTTGAACAACTGATGGAGAACGGATTTGGTAGACGGCCAAACGCAGTCGCTTGGATACGCCCCTTCATCCGCAGCGAATCCAACCAGCACGTATAAGGTGTGGAAGGTCACTTTCACACACAAAGCTGCTGAAGGATCAATTTATGCAAAATTTATGCAATTTATACGAAATTAATTGCAGTAGAAATTGATTACTTAGCCATGCCTCTTGTGCCTTTGGGAGCTGTGGAAAAGGACTGTACACAGAATTCCGATTCTTCAACGGCGCTTCAAGTACGAATGCGGCCTGACCTCGACAACGCCCCTCTTCGAAAGGCTCTGAACCAACCTTTTCATCATGGGACGCTTCGCCCATCCAAACGGCAAAGTCATTCCTTTAAATGCGGTTTCCCCAGTGGGTTTCTGGGCATTGCAGTGGTATAAGTATTCGTAGATGTCGTCGGGGTTTTCGCTTTTATACCGGAGAGAGAGATCCGGGCGCAGCTTCTTCACTATTGTGGGACCTGAAACAAGGAGATATGAAGGATTTGATGGAATTTTTAGTTTTAGAGACTCTAATAATCTCGGCGTTGATTTTTTAATTGCAGCTTACCATATGGCCCTGCAACTCGCAGTGTGGCCAAGGGATTGAAGTAAG